CACTCCCACACCGAGGCTGGACTGCTGTTTAAATCAAGCGGGCGGTCACACTCGATGTGTACATCACCACTGAGGCATGGTGAGCAATGAGACGCCTGTACAAGGCCCCTGCTGGCCTATTGCAGGGCTGGACCGCTGAGGCCCCTGGGCTGCCTAATCAAATCTGAAACCATCACATTGGCTCGGCTCTCAGGCGAGGATGCATGCAAAAAAAAAAAAAAGGAAAAAAAAGAGACGAGAGCGCCAATCATCCCCCTCCCCCGCTGCTCTTAAATACCACCATTAGGAAGGCATTACAAAAGAATATGTAAGTAATGGGAGCATTTCTGCAGCTTTGTGGTTAAAAAAAACCGAGAGAGTTTCAGTGAAAAACACACTCATGATGTACACCACTGTATCTGTATCATCAACCATGAGCAGCTGATAACAACAATCTCTAACTTTCCAGACCTATGAAATTGATGTGTTTATTTAGCGTGTCCAAGCCCAGGCATAGCAGTAATAGCCTTGTCGAGGGGGTGAAGATGGAATCCCGTCGCTTTACCATCGATGTAGGATAATGACTTCCTTTGATGGAGATTTGGGCCATCCAAACATAATTAGGCAAGCGTGAACAATGATCTCCATAAAGTGCAGAGTACTAATTAAAACAGTTCAGCTTTACAGCATTTCAAACATGACAATAAAAATAACAAGAGGACCCAAATGGATTGCACACTGTGCCGATAGTTGCCGGGAAAAGACTGTATTAGATATTCAAAGAGCATTGAGTTCTCCTCTCTGATAAAAAAGTGGCTGAGCAGGAGAGAAAAAAAACACAATTATAGAAAAATATATGTTTATTAAATTAGTCGTGCTCAGTATTTGTCTTTTTCTCTTATGGCAGCTGTAAAGTGAAAACAAATGATAAGATTCATCAGGAAAGAAAAATAATATGAAGTCATTTCATTCGTCTCTGGAAACAAAGAAGTCAGAGCGACATTAATCAAGTGGTAACCGTCTCTTTTGGTGCATTATAACGCTTTAATGTGCAGCTGTGGTAAATACTCGATTCTGATTAATTAAAACTCCAGAAGAATGGTCAGGACAGATACGACCAACCCAGTCCAACATAAGAGGTTTGTAAATGGTGCCATCAGTAAAAGATGTAGGTGTTGATTTAATCTGGAGACCACAGAGCTTTAAAATCATGGCTGACCAGCAGAAGACAGAAGGAAACTAGTGACCTTAACTCACAAGGAGCTGAGAGGAAAACAAACGAGGTTCTGCTGGTCTGACAGGACTGGTTTAGAGAAAAGAAAAAGTTTTAGGTAACAGGAAAACAGTTAAATGTTTCCTTTGTCTCTTTACATTGAAAACTTGAGTCCCTTAATGAGTGAAAAACTGCAGCCCTGAGACTGACACTAAGCTCTCCATCATGCACACTCACTTCACTTTAGCACACGTGAAAAACAGTCGTGTGCTAAATTCAACTATTCCAACAGAAACATCGATAAATAAGAGAATCAGAGTTTGCATCTCATCTCTCTATTGTTAAAGGACTGAAGCTCAGATCTGAACCTTGTTGATTCTGTCGGTGTGTCTGGAAATTTCCGTGCACATTTTGCACTTTTCATGTTTTTTTTATTTGTTGTAGCGTCAATATCTTCAACACAAATACATCACCTAAAAAGGCTGTAAACATGTTTGTTTACCTTTTTTCAATGAGTGTGTATGTGGTTGTAGGTGCTTCTGCAGCCAGCCTCTAGTGGGCATTTGGAGAACTGCAGTTTCCTGCACTTCTGTATTTATCTCCTAAGACTGGGGAAGATATGCAGCAGAGGGTGATGGTCAGAGGCTGAGCCATAGACCACTATAAGGGGGACCAAGGCCCTGGGACACTGGAAAGGGCCTAGACCAAGAGACCAATGGCGCCCCCTTTGTGCATCCTGCAGTTTTAGAAACGGCCTTGTGGGTTTTTCCAAAAATCAAAGATGTCGTTTAGTGTTTGTATAAACAATCCAGAGCTGAGGATCAGTATCTGTTTGGATTTTGGTTGTTAGTGTAGGGCTGGGAAATTTACCGATAAATAAATCAAAGTTGTTTTTGGATGTGTGTAGGTAGGCTATGGTCTCATGTCCCTTTAAGACGCTGTCCTCCGTCCGAGACGTGACTCCACCCCATCCAGTCTGTAACAAAGAGGGAAAGACAGGTGAGGAGATGGAGGACGGTTCAAAAGTTGGAGTGGCTGAAGTAGACGAAGTTAATGTGGGAGGGGGTGAGCAGCTTGTGGAGTAGTTAACGTCCATTTATCATTATTGAGGTGAACTGATCAATATATTGTGATATTGATTTTAGGACATATCACCCAGTCGTATGTTAGTAGATGGAATTCTTGTAATATTTGAAGTTTGTGCTCCACCAACAAATGAAGTTACATCCAAACAAGTCGAGACAAGTTGATTGTATTTTAATAAGTGAGGTAACATGACAGGAGTGACTCAGCCTTATGTCACATGACCTCCTGCTCACTATACATCAGTCCTCCACAGTTTCCTGAAAGAACTTGTGTGACTGTTTTCTCATCTGAACTCCAGATATTCACCATTACATGTTTGTTGTCTGATTACTCGGTTTCTGCGGTCCAATCTCTCTGTTCGTCTGAAAACACTTACAGCCCAGAAGATCAGGATAATAACAAAAAAAGGTTTTCGTGTGTGTGTGTGTGTGTGTGTGTGTGTGTGCGGTCTCTGGAGAGGCGCATTGATTCCTAAATGAATGCAAGGCCAGAGAAAAATGGATTTCTTCCTTAAGATGTGACTTTATATCTCTTCTTTAAATCCCTGCAGCACTGTGTGCATTTGATTACACAGTGAGGAGAAGGAGGAAATCTTTGCATCTTTATAAAATATTCATTGGAGTGGATGGGCGAGGCGAGGCGCTGTAGATGGTTGCTTGGTGATGGAGGAAATCTTTGGAAGTTCAAGTGGATAAGAGAAGAATTCGGTATCTGCAGTGTGGATCACAGAAGTAGGTCAGACGTCTTCGAGCCCGAACCGCCAGAATCACCCCGACTTTTGTTCTGCCGTCAGAGATTTGGTCCAAAGAATTTAACAAAGGGCTTTTTTTAGTGCTTTAATAAATGGTGTGCATCAAGTAAATGAGCTGATCAAGTGATTTAGTGTTGTGAAATGGCTTTTGTTACGGCATCTTTCATCCATTTCACACTGACAAAAGATTGATTTAAGATATGATCGTGATTAAATTACAGCTGGATCCTTTATTACACAGTTGGCAGTCTGTGTTGCTCATGTTCTCGATATACTCAGGGCTTTTAACCACGCGGTGACATTATTCTAACCACCAAAGCGAACATTCACGCTCTCGTTTACAGCTCTGTGTCTCTGTGCTGAATCCGTCTGACTTTAAAGAATAAAAACACAAACATCACCGGATCAGGATCAAAATGGGTTGTTGATCTGTTAATTGGCAGACAAAATGAATGGTGAGTAATGAGGTTTTAAAACACAAACGCAAAGGCAATTAGCCGCTGTCCTCTCAGGAGTCCATGATGGTAATTGTTTTTTGGCATGGGCGTGCAGGCGCAGGATATCTCTGCTTAAAACTGTAGATATAGACAGTTTAGAGTCAACACCAACCAGCTAATGTCGAGTCAAACCAGTCTGTACATAAAAAAACTATTTTTTTAACGTTTAGTTTCACTATAAGATGATCAACAACTCCTGTTACCATCACCTGTTTGCACATAAAACCAACAATAAGAGCTCAAAGCAAAAACAGAATATAAGAAAAGTCAGAGTGGGAGTATGAGAACTGCGCGCAATACTGAATTCCCCCAGGGGGCGCTGATAACTCTGATCTAGGGCTGCACGATTAATCGATTTTAAATCGTAATCGGATTATTTGATGACGACGATAATAAAAAAATTTAAATTATCAAATTGTTTTTCCTCTCTATCATGTCTCACACCCCCAGGCCACCGTAGACTCCCCAGTTCCCACACACACCAGTGTAAACAAACATGGCGTTTTCAAAAGAAGGCGATAATTTCGTGGTTAAATTGGACAAGAGCGAGTCAGTCGTGTTGAATTGGTACAACTTCACAGTTTCAGATGAAGAGTAAACCACTCCCCGCTGTAAAGTCTGTCTGAAGGCGGTATCAACCCGTCACCACGGAAACAGGAAATAGCGTTTTAGGTGACTGTAGACAGAAAAAAAAAAAAACGGGTCAGAGAGTGAATAAATCTGTAAACAACGACCATTTCATCTCCGTGTGGATGTCTATCTGCATCTCTGGAAACGATCATGTGACACACAGAGTAACTCTTTAATGGCGCCAAAACAACCTTCATACACATGCTCTGTACTCTTCTTCTTTTTTGTGCATTTCCTGTGCTGCGTTTCAGCGCCACTTACTGGCTTGGCATATGCACTACATCATTTTCAGTGGTTTCGTTTTGAGAGATGATAGAAAAAACTTTTTATTAAGAATCAAAAATCAAGTTTTTCGGAAAAAAATCTGGATTTTATTTTTGGTCAAAATCGTTCAGCTCTAATCTGATCATCCTGCATGTTTTAAATGTTTTTACAGTGTCTACATTCACATGTAACTGAATCAGTGTGTCCAGGTTTACAAGTTGAATCTGAATCTGATTATTATCAGGAACATATCCGCCTCTTTGGGGACCAGACTGCAGTTTTTGAGGCTTCAATTTCTTCCTCTTTGCATCTTTCCAGCATCCCTCCACAATAACTCTGCGGGGATAAACGTCACTCATGTGATGCATTGTGGGATTTATACTCGGTCAAATACCGCTCATCTGTGATCTTACTCTTAGTACTTTGGATAGTTGTAGGGATGAGATCCACTGCTGATCAGGTGTGTGTAATAATAAGACAGCTCTGTTGTCTCTTAATCTGAGTTTGAGAGAGTACAGATATCAGTCTGAACTCCTCCCCCTCTCTCAGAGGCTAAATTAACTAAAGCTGAACTAAAACTAATGCATTTGTGCTTTGGAGACACCGGCATGGACTTTCAGACGCATATACACAACACAATAACTGAGAAGTTAAATCTGCATTTGTGGATGAATGCTAACGTTAAAAACCTCCGCTGTAGCTCCGGTGGGTTTCAGTCAGGTGTTCAGTCTGATTTTAATAACTCTCTGTCCCTCTGGTATCTTTGTTCTCTGTTAGAAAACTTCAGACTGTAAAGAAAGTCTAAACCCTGATAAAGTTAGTGACTGACTCAGAACAGACGCTGTAACGTCTGAATTCAGATTATCAGTTTGTAGAGAAACATGGAGGTCAAATTTAGACGTAATCAGAATAAACAGACTTCCTGTTGTCTCCTCCAGCCCTGACTGCAGGTTGTTGCGTTGTCTCCTTCAGGTGTTGGTGCAGTTTTTACTGATTTCTGTGTGATGATGATGATGAAGCAGACAGAGAGGTTTTCAATCCAGTGGTCCTCAGCCTTTCAAAGAACCAGGAGGTGTCACTGTTTATGCAACCCTTCCTGGAGAGAGAGAGCAGCCTCCTGATCCGGTCTGTGCAGGAGTCTCACTGAACTCCAACCCCATCAGAATAAACACGCTAAAGTATTTTTTTAAGGTGAATTAAAAGTTTTTACGGCTGTTTCAGATGATGATATCTGATCTGACTGATAAACAGAAGTCTGTCAAAAAGACAACAGAGCGAGCAGCAGAGTCAGACCAACACAAACACAACCAGCCGCCGTATCTACACACTCCTCCTGCACACACACATATAGTACACAAACTCAGATTGAGTGGACGGGCTTGTCAAAGCACTAATACCCCTTGCTTGGTATCTTCAAAAGTGACTGGATGACAAACATGTCTGTCAGCGCTGTGCCAATATAGTTTAGGGCCTCTCGTGATGGGGCACACACCCAATGACAGAAGCAGGTCATTTCCGCTCGCTGGCATCATAAATCCACCGTCTGGCCCCTGTCCGGCTGCTGATGCTGCAGAACGCCACACACGGTGGACCTGTCGGAGCCCCGTGAGCTACTGCGCCGTCTCCATGGTACACAGACACACACACGCACAGACACACTATCATCTCTCTCTCTTTCTGTTTATCTCTATTTTCATTTATTTATCTTCGTCTCTCTCTCTTTTTTGTATCTCCCTCTGTTTTTATGTCTCTTTCTGTTTCCTCTTGTGTGTTTTGTTGAGTTTCACCTCTTTATCTCACTTTATTTTATCTTTTTCTTTTGTTTTCAGTTCAGGTCTTCCTCCTCCTTCTCCTCTTTTCTCTCTCTCTTCTGTTTATTTTTATTCATTTTTATTCACTTGAGTTTGTCCATACAGTAACTTAAAGTGCTTCACATAAGATATCACAGAATCATTACAGGGTCATGGAAACATTTTAAACACTTTAAATCATTAAAATCAAAAGTTGAAGTTTGGTCAAACAGCTTTAAAACAAAAGTATAAATCGTAGTACAGCATGTGTTTCCATTCACAGATAGAGTTATGGTTAAAGCTCTATTAGGCGATTTAACTGGACTGCTGTATTTATTAGGGGTGGGAGAGAAAATTGATTCACAGAAGTGTCGCAATTTTTGGTTTTACAATTTTTAAATCAGTTTTTAAGTTCAAAAATCGTTTTTTTCTTTTTTAAATTTAACAATAAATCTTAAAAACTGACTTACATGTGGTGTATTTTTTGGGGAAATATGGTTCCTGGAAGCGATATGTTTTTGTAGGATGGTTGGGGAAAGTCCCGCCTCCTTTCCCTCTGATTGGCTGTGAAACATCATCACACGCTCAAGCCAAACGCGCGCTGTCGGCTCTGTACATCAAACAGAACATTACAGAACATTATCTCTTATGCTTATTAAAAATCGAGAAAATCGACAATTTCGTAGAATCGCAATTTAAATCTAATCAGCATCCAAAAAATCGTAGAAGAATCGAATCGACCCGGCCCTGGTATTTACCCTCCACTCCAGTAGGCGGCGATATTCCCCCTTTTAGCTTGTTACTTTGGCGTTTCCAGCTAAAAGATAACTCTGTATCTTTCATACATCGTCTGTATAAGTGAGACAGGAGCTTTCTCTTAGGAATACAGTCATATTCAGAGGTGTAAATACTATAATACATATTTACACTGAAGTAGTTCCAGGTCAAAACCAGGTCCAGGACTGTGGAGGATCTGAGACAGAGCTAGTTTAGATCAGAGTCAGCGTATATTCCGGCTGATATCAGATTTTCACCTTTTCACTGTCATTAAAATATCCTGATGATATTTTTGATGTAAAAATAAAACACTTTATTTCATGCTTTTATTTTGAAGTAGCTTTTAGTGATAACTTCCTGATCTGAATAAAAACCATTTAGCAGTCTGAAAATATAAATGTTGAATAATCTGAAGAGACTGAAGCTCTGATGTTGTTTTTTAATCATAATAAATCAAATATCTCTTTCTTCTGCTCCTTCTTTCTCTAAATCTGTTTATTTTCATGTTTTAATCTTCCTAATCTTCTATTTCCGTGACTCTACATTCAGTTTATTCTCTCTCCATACCTTTACCTGTTTCCTGTTTTTCTTATCTTTTTATTTTTCGATCCATCTCTTCCTTTTATTTCTCTCTCTGTGTATCCTCACTTTTCTCTAAGCTTCTGGAGCATCTCTCAGGATTATTTTCTCTTGTCAGTGAAGAAAGCAAAGCTGTCATGCCGTGGTTCACCTGTCCTTTGTGCAGCACCTGACACCTCATATTCCTGTCTGCAGTAAAAACTGCTCTTAATATACAGTAGCAGAGCAGGAATACAGTGGGAGCACGTCAGCCGGGGGATGAGGGATACTGCGAGTAATATATTCATGTTTGCTTAAATCAGGCTCAAGGTTAAAACAACACCTATTTCTCTTGGCGTCACATCTCTTTGGCAGAACACAGAGTTTGGACGTGCCAAACATGACACCTCCACTCACTAATACAAGCGAAATAAAGGCTGAATGATAAATAAGTCTGCATTTTTTTTTCACAGCCTTTCTGCTGCTGCTCACCTCCTCCTCCTCCTCCTCCTCCTCCTCCTCCTCTCCTAGACAGAAATGCAAATAGGTCATTGAGCTTCATCCCCCTTTTGCCCTAACATGCAATGACAGTCTTTAAATTCCTCTTTGAAGCCACTTCCCTAAGAAGAAAAATATAAGAAAGTCTCCCATTTAGCATGAAAAGGTATTAATGTTCCCCTACGTAAGGCTGGGGATCAAAATGTGTGCTTAAGGGAAGCCGTGACCGCTCTCAGGAAGCCATGACCGGGGTTGAGCAGAATGCTAAATGCCATACATCCTCAAGGTTATCTCCGAAGACAGAGCCCTTTTGGAATCTGCCTCTGCTTTATTTTCTTCAATGCATGCATCAAGTCAGCTGAACGGGAAAAGATGAAGGTGACTCCTAGAGCGAGTCGAAACGCTCTCTCTCTCTCTCTCTCCCCCTCGCTCTCCCCGTCTTTGCACGCCATACACCTTGCTGTGTCTGCAATGAATGGTCGTAATTTGGCGGGTCCACGACGCTCTCCGCTCTCCCCCTCAGTGCAGGTTGTGTCTGCGGACTGGGATTAGACAGAGGTACAGTAAAGCCAGGGGCGAACACAAAGCACTTAAATGTGAAAAGTGTCATTTCCATCCCCAAGTCCCTGAATATTGAAATTAGGTCATCAGTGCGGCAGAGGCCAATTTTCACCCTCATACATCATGGCTGCTGCCCCTGCACCCAAGGTCTCATTACGCCATACATGGTCAATAAGCCATTAACATGCAGCAGACAATATAATGTCCACACCAAGACAATGTGTCTACTGTACAGTAGCAGAGCCGTACAGTAATGCTGCAGAGTTTTCGCAGAACTACGAGGATCCACTTTGAGGGTTTTTGGACTTTTTTTGACGCCAGGATTCATTTGGAAAAGAAACGCTGGAGCTTTTGTATTCACGGTCCTTTCTTTTCCAACATCAGTTTGCCAGTGTGATATTCATTTGTTGGAAGCTGTGCTGCATAAACAAACAACGCCCAAGGCTACCACTGGCTGGTTAAACAACCACAGGCTGTTTTCTCTTTCCTCCACCAGAGCACATTGTAAATTCCTTGTTGGACCACAACACGCTCAGCTACGTTTATTCAACAAATAGCCGACATGGAATGAATATTTCACCTCCTAATATTTACCTCAGAAGAGGCTGGTGTTTGTTATTATGTTTCAGGCTGTAAATAATTGATCAAAACGTGAGCATTTAAAAATCTGCAGAGTCTGATAGTGGCATTGTTTGATTGAGCGCCTCCACTCCAAGTCCTGAGGATAAAAATGTTCCTTTGTTTGCCGCCGTCTTACATTTCTTCCTGCCATTACCCCGCAATAAAGCAAACGCATCAGCATCCCTCTAACAAACCGAGGGCAGATTGGGACCCCCGCCACCGCTGTAACAAATGGGGCAAATCATTGTCACAACCCATGTTTCTTTCTGCTTTAACGTGGTTACACGAGTGTGCCGGGACGTTTATGGACTGCCTGATCCACTGCTGGCAGATTAAAACAAAATCAAGCCAAACCGGTTTGAACCTCTTCTGTGACGACTCTCGCAGCATATTGTGCAGCGAAAAACAAACATTTTATTAACAATAAAACATTGCTTTATTTCATTTTCTCGCTCCCGTTCAATCTATTTCCCTCCACATTTTTTTCCAGAGCACCTTCTTCCTGCTTGTGAAAATGGGGTTTGTATTGATGAGCTGGGCCCAATATTGATTTCCCATCATTCCTGGTGTGGACATTTTCTGGTCTATTATACTACAGTCGCAGCATATTCCCATAGCAGCCGTAAAGTGGATATATGGACAACCTGACCTTGGCAATATGGAGATAATGAAATATCCTTAATGACCCTTCCTGAAAGATTTTACAGGCTGGACTATAGACTGCCAACCCATGTACAATAATAGTTAGCGGAGGAGGATTTTAGAGGCCCAACTAAATCTAAAGCTCACTACACGTATTGGGAGGACTGTTAACTTGTCTGTTTTACTAGGTTAATGTAACCATTAAGGGCACACAGTTATATGATGGCTAATATTACAGACTGGTTTATATCCAGGGGCAGTGGCAGCCATTACTCTCTGGCTTAAGTCCTTATGAGAGCCAGTCGTGAGGAAAACATGAACATTTCAGCCGCGTGTGAACGTAACATGATCTGTGCCGACGTTTTTGATTATTATTTATGGATAAAATAATGTCTTGCACGTTTTTCACTCCCTGTAAATACAAAAACACTCATGAGCTCGTTTGAAATGTAGTTTATGAAGCTGATTTAAGGATGGTTTTAAAGCACCTATAAGGAACTTTTGGTTTGTGTCAGCTTTGGCGCCCCCTGTGGACAAAGCAGTCTTTGCATTTCTGTTCTTCTGCATGCCAAAATTCTCATTCTGCTGTATTTTCTCTGTCTAACGAATTATTCAGTGAGACTTTTTAAAGCTCCTATAAGGAACTTTTGGTTAGTGTCAGCTTTGGCGCCCCGTGTGGACAAAGCAGTCGTTGCATTTCTTTTTCTATTCTGCCATATTTTTACCATCGAATGTATCATTAACTAATATTGTTTATTGTTTATCAGGATTCACATTAGCTTTTGTCAAGACAAAGCTAGTCTTGCTGAAAGCTAGTCTTTAAAGCTCCTGTGAGGATTTTTTGGTTTGTGTCAGCTCTGGCGCCCCCTGTGGTCAAAGTGGTCCAGCTTATTTCTTGTGAAATTAGGTTTAAATACTACACGTTGTTGTTTTCTAACAGTGAAATGCGTCACTTACTGTATTAGTAACATATATAAGTTGTATAAGTTGTTTGTTTATCCGGCTGTCAATCATCTGCTCTGACTCCGACCTCCTCGCTTCGGTTTCAGGCGATAGAAATCTGACATAAACACGGCCGGTCTCATCACTGACAGTCTTGTTTGTGTGTTCAGAGTTATTTTTGAGCACGTGCTGACATGTTATAGAAAAAACATTTACATTGTTTATAGTTGTTTGTTTTTTATAATTATATCTTAATGCAGATTTCATTACCAGTATGTAAACTCTTGACAATAGAGGTGGCCGTGACTTCATTGAAATAAGATCCAAGTTTGTTTTTTGTTTTTTTTCTTTTTTTGAACTTTTGAAAAGTTTCTTTAGCAGCTAAACTTTTAATTACTTTTCCGATGATCTACATTTGTGACAGAAATATAGTTTTAGTGAAAGTAATGAGCTCTTAAGATTAGAAACAAACCTAAAAATAAATACAATCAGCGCAGAGACCTAAACTGATGTTAACGTCACATACGACCTTTTTGTAACTCATCCACTCAAGGGTCAAAGGTCAGATCAGATGTCTGAATCGTGCTGCTGGTTGTTCGTCTCTCAAACTTCATCTTTCTTAAAGACCCTGTTATCCTCCCACACATCTGACATTGTCTTCCACGTTTGACCATGAAGATTAATCGGTTTGTCCAAAAAAGGACTTCCTTCCTCTTCTTTGTCGAGAAATCTCCTCTCAGTCAGCTGACAGACGTGCTGGTTTACAGGCGTTAAGAGACACATAGAAACAGCAGATACTGACTGAATGGCAAATATCAGCTGATACACGTGTCTAACTAAACTAAAGAATCTGAGCTCTGAGCAGATCCAACATATCAGTTGACAATAAAGTTAAGACTTACAGGCTCATATTTACTGTTTATCCCGACAGTCGTTAGCTGTGCTTGCTCGTGGTGGTTCAGGTCCAGGGCTGCAGCTATCGAATATTTTAGTAATTGAGTATTCTACTGAATATTCAATCGATTACTCGAGTAATCAGACCCAAACGGCAGACTCACATACAGTGAGATTTCCTACATCACAAATACAAGCTCCAATCCTGGAACCCTGTCATGAAGGCCAGACTCAGAGAGGTAGAGAGGCTGATTGCAGAACAAGTGTATGTGTTAGCAGATTGAAATCCTCGTAAGAAAACTAATTATGATATTAACTTTCATCATGTCCATAAAGACATTAGTGTCCGAAAGCTGAATAGCCTACTGAAGCTCTGCTGAAGAAAAGTCCGTCTCATCATTCGTTTTATTTGCTCCGCAAAACCAAAACTGCGCTAACTCCTCCTTCTACAGTGATGACGTAAGCGCGTTGTGTCGCCTTGAAAATGATCCGTGCGAAACGGAGACGATTTGAGCTTATAGACGAGTACTCGGAAATTCCTCGATCTTTTTTTGTAATGGAGGTACTCGAGGAATCGTTTCAGCTCGATACAGGTCTCTCTCGCTGTCACTGACTTTACTCTGTCCCTTTGCTTTTCAGACACACAAAGACAAACAAACCCTCCTCCTCTCTCCTCCTCCTCCTCTCTTTCTCCACCTTCAGCTGCCTGATAGTTTTTCTGCTGTAGCACATTATGATGAAGATGTGACAGCATCCTCAACTTCCTTATACTCCCAAAGTGAACTAAACTCACCAGTCTGAGCCAATAGATGCTGAGGACTGAACGAGCTCAACACGGCAGGTGGGCAGAAATCATTCAGACTCAATCCTCAATAATCGTAACTCAAATTTAAGTGAATCCAGATATTTGAGAATCTTTGAAATTCTGAATTCGCCTTGAAAGTCTGATTTTTTAACAACACGGTGGTAATGTATTTTAAATCACTGCTTAAAACACTTAGTGATCACTACTTTAATCGTAATAAATGTGTTTATGATGCTTTTTCAGTGTTAAGTTTCCATCAAACGTGACCAAATCATCATGAAGGTTACAGGGCCTCGGTAAACACTGCGGGTTTCTCTCGGATCTACTTCTAACTTCATGATGGTGAATAATAAAAGCAGTAAGTAATTAATTATAAAGTGTGCGTAGGAGTAGAAAGCAGGTCGGTGTAATTTCAGTCATGTTGAAGCCTCGTCTAAACTGCAGCCAGAGAAAAGAAGAAGAAGAAGAAGAAGAAACAGCTGTCTGGAGTGTGAAGTAGTACTGTAGGTATTTGGGTGTCAGAGTCGGTTAGACGTCAGCAGGTGAAAAAGGGAGATCATTATTCACATGTCACGCTGACAGTTGTTTCAGAGATTCGCGCCGATAGCAGCTGATAATCATCCCCGGAGCGCAGCAACAATGAACTTGCCCTACCACTCCACTGTCTTCAGAAACACTTCAAACATGCTCCACTTCAAACACAAAAGCAGCCGTCGCCTTTGATGTCATTGTCAAAAAATGAGTTTTGTTCCATCGCGCTTAAACTCCACCCCCTCGGCTGAAACCTAGACGGAGACGTGCGAGAAACAGATTTCTGAACATGAAAAGAGCAGCTGTGTGTTGTCTGATACGGCCCTTTATCCCCGGGAACGGAAACGCAGTCGGAGAAGAGCATTACCCCCAATGTTTACGGGATAATATAAGGCGCCGTGTACGTTTTTATTAGCGATTCATTCATTCATATGTTTTCGCCACAACAAGAAAAGTCTGGTTAGGCCGAGGCCGCCGTTGAAATATGGAGTAAAAGATCCTTTACACAGCTCCTTTACTAAAGAGGAGCTGGTTGCAGAAGCAGCTGGCTGAGCGTGTCTGCTCCTGATGAAATCTCAGCACAGACACGGCCGCTTCATAATGACTATAATCACAGCAGATAAGCAACTAGTGCATGGAGAGGAGGGTGGAGATCAGAGGGTGAGCGAAAGAGAAGGAGAGAAAAAGTAATTGAATCTTTTGGAGGCACATTCAGATGAAAGCCATGGGGCTGTGTGGGAGATGCTTTTCAGGGAATGACATTTAGATTACAGAGGTGCCCCGTTCACCATCACGGTCAATACCTCCTTCTTCACAATAGCACTCCTAAGTCTCAGCAACACTGCTTTCAGAGTAAAGGAGCTCTTTTACAGAGTGGACTGTGTGTGTGGAGCTCCTCCTCACCTCCGCAGAGTCTCCTCTGTCCTCCCAACTGCAGCTAATCATAATTATCATCCTTATTATCATGATACACCACCACCTCCACCACCTTCTTCTTCTCATGCTCCCGTAAGGTCAGCTGAAATATTCATTACATCACCTTATCGAAATGTAACCCACGGCAACTTCCTCCCCACCCTCACCCCGTCCACCTCACCCACCTGCTTTTATCCTCCCTATCTGCCGTATTGACACAGGCCGGCGTATTCCAAATATTCGAGGGATCACATCTGGGCCCGCTGACACACTTCAAATGGATCTCAGATTAATGATATATCACGGAGCAGGATCTACAAAAACCATTAGTAAGGCTGACACTTTGACATCGGATTTTAAAAAATTTCCAAGTAATCTTTTTGATTTATGAAAGTGTGTCCAGGTTCATCGGGAGTGATTCCAGATTTATCACATCCTGGTTAGAATTATTAATGATTTTCAATTTGTAAATCTGATCCTGCCACGTTCAGAGGAGCTCCGTGGAATCACCAAAGGCTGATATCGGCGTCCGAGCTCTGCTCCTGGAGCGTGATTACTTTATCAAAATATTGCTACCTGTGACTTACATTTCACTTATTTTCCACTCGGGCTGAGCCTTTTCCCCGTCTCCTTCATTCCTCTCTCCTCACGTACGAGCGCCACACACATTTTTCAGCGCCGGCTCCTAAACACCAGAGCGGCCACAGCTCGTCTCGTCGTCGTCGTCGCTTGGCTAATCTTCTGAAGTTCGACGTTGCACTATTAGTTCCGAGTTCCTGACACATGCACTTTTAAGGACCTACTGTGTCAACATGTCAAATGGATGCGGCGTGCAGACAGCTGTACATTGCAATCTTTCTCAGGGTTGATGAGAGGCACAGCCCGGATCATCATCACTTTCCAAAGATAGCCGGCGATGTGTTGATGTTTGCTTCGATGTCACGTCGATGCATCTTGGGTACGACTTCCTGTGAGCGGAGCCCACTCTGCGTGAGGGGTCCTTTGTGTGGCATATGCCCACTCAGACATGAATAAGAATGGCACTTTGCAACTAAGCACTATGACCGCATAACAAGATGTATGAGGTGACACCTTCTGCTGAAACGCACATTTCCTCTGAAGCCTTCGAACAGACCGGTCCACACGGACGATAAATTCATGAAATCTTGTTTCGTGGCCACACCTCCACAATTACAGTAAATGCTTTTTTCCATAAATAATTACAGGATGACCATTTTTCAACGTTTCTGTGTTTGTGAACTGCTGCCGACCCTCTTTACTTTCTCACCCTCTGAACTCCACGATTCATTTCTGTTCGTCTCTACATCAGTGCGTTTGTTTTCTTCTTCTTCAGAGGGCTCTTCTTTGCTCGACTGAAGACTTATGAACCATATTAAAGGAAGCTAGTTCAAAGTGTCTTTTAGAAAGCTGCTTTTTTAAAGTGGAATTTCTTTTGCAGTGACATAATAATCATAAAGTCAAACAGATTCGCTCCCTGATGTTACAGGAGACATCAGGAGTCCTAATAAACAAGTACAATAGAAGTGACGTCCTTGTCTTTATGCAGAGGATGACTTTATTTTCACAAATCTGCTTCATGATGTAATTTCAGTAAAGTTTTACTTACTCATTGGTGCTTAAAAAGTGGTTTCAGTACAGTCAAGAACTGACTCCTTTAGGTTTACAGCTTCAAGTGTGACAGTCGGACAGCTTTTCGAGACATTTTTGTTGTTTGACCTCCAAGTCAAAGAGCTCTGAGCTGCTCAGACTGAAACCTGAGACTGTAAACGGGTTTATTTTTGCTCTTTAAATAGACTCCTTTGGGTTCACGGCAACAGCTTCAAGTGGACACTCGGCATTGCAATCTGCTAACACACACGCTTGGTCCGCGATTGTCCTCTATATCTGGCGAGTCTTCTTCTCTCAAGACTGACCATGAGAAACACATGAGGAAACTCTGACTAAAATATCTGATAGCTGCAGCTCTTGTTCAGTCAGACTAATGTGTTTTAAAGTCCAGTATCAGTCAAACAAACTCAGTAAATACACATTTTTAACTTTATGTAAACCTGATTATTTACAGTGAAGCTGAGACCCTCCTAACCCTCTAAATACATGTCTGTTTAGTATTACCTGTCGCCAAAGTGAAGCTAAATTCCAGGTTTAACTCAGAGTATCTGACTTTAGTTTAAATGGTACAGAAATGTTTGTGTGACTGAAACAAAATCAGCTTTCTGTCTCTCAGACATTCAGGATAAAAATCCAAGAAATCCAGAGACGAACTCCTCAGACAGTAAACAACTAGAGAAACGTCAACACTGTTAGCATTTAAGATTATTTTAAAATCAAACTAAAATACTTAAAACTTAAAAACCAGTGAACTTCAGAGTCAGAGCTTTTTATTTCCAGCTCTGTTTTCTTAGTTTTCTGCTCGATCTCGTTTCATGTTTAAAAAAAAAAACCAACAGCTTTCAGGAGAATAACAGTTTGAGACGTTTTCCGCCAAATCTTGAACAAAAACCGAACAGTCTTTTCTCCAAGTGTCCTATTATCACCGCAGAGCTGTAACCAGAGGTCGAGGCTTTATTATAACTCCAGTTCCCACAACCCACCAGGACACGATGGTCAGGTTTTTACACGGTGATCAAACTGGACGCAAATGTAAGGACCACAGTGCTAACTTGGCGTTCATATCTCTGCTACTGTGTTAGCAGCACAGCGAACT